AGGCATGGTGGTGCATGCCTGTAGTCCCAGCTACTCAGGAGGCTGAGGCAGAAGGATCACTTGAGCCCAGGAGTTTGAGGTTGCTGTGAGCCAGGCTGATGCCATGGCACTTTAGCCCAGGCAACAGAGTGAGACTGTCTCAGGGAAAAAAAAAAAAAAAAGAAGATAGCTAGTGCAGAGGCCAGAGACAAGAACAGTCTTGGCCTATTCCCTGAGCCTGACGGCCACTAGGGGCATTGTGAGCAAGAGGGAGGCCAGCAGGGGTCAGACCAAGTGCAAGTTTAGAGGGTTCTGAAAAGAGTGACATTGTTCTAGCTGCTTTATGGAAAATGGACTGGAGGGAGACAAGAGTGAACTAGGAATACCCATTAGCTAGAATAGTTCAGGTGAATGATGAAGGGACTTAGATTAAGGTGATAGCAGGTGGTGATGGAGAGAAGAGATTACATTTGCTTTACCATGTAATTGTGACTTTAGCATGAGCCTGCCTGATTTTGAAAACTCACAGCATTTCAGCTTAAAAACACCTTTCAGTTGTTGGCTATAGATATAAAAGATTAATTATATCAATAATTTTAGAGCAGCTTTTAGCACTTTCTTGCAAATATTCTCAGTTTTATCTAATCATTATTCTTTGAGTGTGGGTTTGTTTTTGAAAGGCCTCCTAAAGAAACATTCAGAGCCAAGTCTGAATAAATGGATGGCCAAGTTTTAGAATAATAGTCTATTACTCTATAAAGTAATAGTCTTTTGTCAAGTGGAGTGACTGATTTTCTTGGGCTCTGAACTCTAAAGAAAACTGAAAATTATCATAACTATTAATATAAACAGTACAGGCATTTGCTTAGGCTCAAAAGATAACTATTTCGAAAAATCACACTGAGTAATTTCATATATATTTATGTAAAAATAAGTTGTTTTACTTTGTCATACCTTATTTTCTCTTCTGCTTAGATTGCTGATTCTCATGTGAATATTGATCTCTGCTCTCCTTCATTTCTTATTTTTCTCTTCACTACTAAGTATAGATTACTGTGTGAATCAGCTTCATACTAAATACCTTTCCAAATCATATTTCTCTCAATCAGAACTCTTTGCAGAGTAACACAATCATATAATATGGTCTTTCTTGAAATTGGCTCCTTTCACTTAGCATAATGTTGACAAGGTTTATCCATCTTGTAATATCTATCAGTACTTAATTCCTTTCTGTTACCAAAAAGTATTCCATTGTGTGGATATACCACATTTTGTTTACCCATTCATCAATTGGTGGACATTGGGTTTGTTTCTACTTTTTGGCTATTATGCTGCTGTGAACATTCATTCATGTACAAGTTTTTTGTGTAGATGTATGTTTTCATTCCTCTTGGGTATAATTTAGAAGAATTGCTGTGTCATGTGGACTCTCTGTTCACATTTTGAAGAACTGCTTAACTGTTGTCCAACGTGACTGTGCCTTTTTTACATTCCTACCAGCAGTGAATGAAGGTTATAATTTCTGTACATCTTCAACACTTTTTGGTTATAGCTATCCTAGTGGGTATGAAGTATAATAGCATCTCATGGTTTCGATTTGCATTTCCCTAATGATCAATGACATAGAGCATCTTTTCAGGTGTTTATTAACATTTATATATCTTCTTTGGTAAAATATCTATTCAAATCCTTTGGCTATTTTTAAAATTTGGTTATTTTTCTATTTTTGAGTTTTAAGAGTTCTTTGAATATTCTGGATACGAGACTCTTCTCAGTTATATGATTTGCAAAGATTTTCTCTCATTATCTGGATTGTCTTTTTCACTTTTTTAATGATATCATTACCTAATCCAAGCTCAAAAAGATTTACTCCTCTATCTCCTTCAAAGAGTTTATACTTTTAACTCTTACATAGAACTCTATGATCCATTTGAGTTGATTTATGTATGATGTAAGGAAGAGATCCACCTTCCTTCTTTTGTAGTTGTCCCAGCGCTATTTGTTGAAAAGACTATTTTCTCCCATTTTATTATTTTGGCACCCTTGTTGAAAATCAGTCGACCATGAATATGAGGGTTTATTTCTGGAGTCTTAGTTCTATTCAATTGATCTATATGTACATCCCACACCATCTTGACTACTAACTTTTGAAATCAGGAAGTGTAAGTCTTCCCACTTCCTTCTTTTTCAAGATTTGTTTTGGCTATTCTGGGTCCCTTGTATTTTCATGTGAACTTCATGATCAACTTGTCAATTTCTGCCAAAAAGCAGACAGGGATTATATTATATCTGTAGATCACTCTGAAGAGTATTGCCATATTAACAGTACTAAGTCTTCCAAACCATGAACATGTGATGTCTTTCTATTTAAGTCCTTTTGAATTTCTTTCAGCAATGTTTTATAGCTTTCAGTGTATATGTTTTATGCTTCTTTGTTAAGTTTATTCTTAAATATTTTATTCCTTTTGATGCTATTTTAAATGATATTGTTTTCTCAATTTTATCTTCAGACTGTTCATTGCTGGTATATAGAAATGCAAGTGATTTTTATTTGTTGATCTTTTATCCTGCAACCTTGCT